TTGATAACTATGCCCCCAATACCGTCATCCAAGTCATTAATAAAGATGCTAATACCCCAGAGGACAGGATCATAGTGGTTTAGATGTTGGACTAGGACTCTGAAGATCAGAGTTCAAATCCCTGTTCGGCCATGGGAACCCACTGGGTGACCTTAGGCAAGTCACACACTCTCAGCCTCAGAGGAAGGCAATGGCAAACCTCCTCTGAGCAAATCTTGCTAAGGAAATTCCATGATAGCTTTGCCTTAGGGTTGTCATAAGTCAAAAACGACTTGAAAGCAAAACAACAACAGCACAGCATAGTGCCAATGTGATGAGTTGTGTGATGTCAGTTGCTTGCACATGGAATGCAAAGCATTTTATGGATTGAGCTGCATAATAATGTTGCTTTTCCTGAAGCCAGTCTTTAAAGAGCGGCTGCTCCAAAGAGGACATTAGATCTAAGTATCTTTGATGGATAATTCTTCATTCCTTTAATGCATTTCCAAGCCAAGATAATTGATGGATGTTTAACAGGATGTATTTCCGACAGTTGGGTTAGAGAAATGGACTCTCATTACTCTGCAAATGTTTCTTTTTACTATTGAACTCTTTTGTTTCAATTGATCTTTGCATTTCCCATCATTCGCCGCTCATTAATAATCCCCTGGAGCAGCTGTTGCCTTCAGCCCTTTCCTTCTTGCCCAAGTCATCTGTCATCTCTCCAGTCTGGCGGCAAGTTCTCCTTAGGATGCCACATGGCAGGAATGAGTGGGGGAAGGGAAGCTATCCGCCTCAAGACAAAATGTCTAAGACAGCTACAAACATTCATGAGGAGGGGGCTAATGGATGCTTATTTTCAAACTGGACACTGAAATGCATGACATAAGAAAAGCCCAAGAGCTGGCAAAGGAGCCAGTGTGATACAGCAGCCTGAGTATAAGACTAGGGCTCCAGGAGATCAGGGATTGACTCTCCTTCCACCATGGAAACCCATTAGGTGACCTTGGGTAAGTCACACTCTTTCAACCTCAGAGTAAGTCAATGACAAACCTCCTCAGAATAAGCCTGGTCAAGAAAACCCTGTGATAGGGTCACCATAGGTCAGAGTCAGCATGAAGGCACATATCGACAACAAGACGACCAGTCCAATATCTAAGGTTCTTGAAAACCTCCTCTGAAAGCCACTGAAACCCACTGGGTGACCTTGGGCAAGTCACATTCTCTCAGCCTCAGAGGAAGGCAAAGGCAAACTCCCTCTGAGCAAATCCCCACGATAGGTTTACCTTAAGGTTATGGTAAGTTGGAAAAATGACTTGAAGGCACACAACAGCAAAACCACCTCCAAATAATTTTTCCAAGAAAGCCCTGTGATTGAGTTTCCATAAATTGGAGTCAACATGAGGGCACAGAACATGAGGACCATTACAATATCTAGGGTTCTTGCTTGTGCATGCAAAAGAATGTGTGCCGTTATATTTATTGTTGTTGGTTACGTTTACCTCAAGGTGGTGTACAGGGCTCTCATCCTGCACACTTTATCCTCACAACTCTGTGATGTAGGACAGGATGAGAACAAGTGAATGGTTCAAGTTTACCCAATGTGTTTCATGGTTTAGTGTAGGCTTGAGCCTGCAATCTCTTAAATCCCAGTCCAACACTCTAATCCAGTCCCTTACTCTACTATATCCTTTATTCTAATATTGGCTTTCTTGCTTATTTATTTATCATTGGGAATCTTCCAGATGGGACAAATGTGTCAAGAGGTTGTAGTATTTGTTGCTGTATTCTCAGGATGTTTTAAAATATCCCAATGACATTTCTGTTGCCCTGAAAAGTTTTCTGGCAAATCTTGGCACTGGTTGCAATATTTTATTCCTACCCTCAAGGGGTTTTTTGTTTTCATTCCAAGATTCAATCCATTCCATTCCATTTTTTTTTCTTTTATTTTTTCCTCTCATGTTTAAAGGGCTGCAGTGCATCAGTGGAAATGACACTATAAGCTTATAACTCTAATTTTTTTAAAAAAAGCAGAAAGGAGAACATTTGCCCTTCAAACCATAGGACCACCTCAGCAAACCATGCCCCAGGTGAAGAAAAACCCTGAAGAGCCCTAGTACAGATGAAAAAATTCCACTACCAACAGACTGCAAAAAGAATGGAATTAGTACAGGTGACAACAACTGGTAAAAACTGCCAAAGTCTAAGGAGTTCTATTATGAGAATTCAGACTTCTTTAGATCAATCCAGAAGAGCCCTTTACTTGTTTATAAGGCTCTGTTTGCAGGCCAGAAAACTCCAGGGGCATCCCGCAGTACTCCAGCCCCAGAGATGCCCCAATGTCCCCCTGTTATCTGAGGCCCTCCACTAGGATGCCAAGCAGTTGTTTACATGTGTGTCCCAAATGCTGGCATGGGGAATCACTCAATCCTATGGCTAGGTACCTTGTTCTGACCTCAAAGCTCACAACTTGACATGGCAGTAGCTACGGCAGGAAGCACAAAGAGGTGCATTGTAAACAGCTACCCAGAATCAGAACAGAGGGCTCTGGATATTCTTGGAAGATCCAGAGCAAAAGTTATTTTTTAAAAAAAAATCATTTAAAGGTTGTTATAAAATGGGTTTGGTGCTGAAAGAGCCAAACATTTTCTGGACTGTTTACACCAAAACAGGGCTTTGGGCCATGCATCATTTGGAGTCGTAATTCATCTTTCTCTGCAACTGCCCAATGATACCCACATGTATGTAAGTTCCGTTGATTCAATGGGTCTATCCTAGTTGGAACTAACAATGCAGTTTAGGCTTTAGTCTGCTAAATGGCAGAGCCATTTCTGGGAACAACCTATCCAAGAAACTGAATTTTCCACTTGAGGGCAATCTTAGCTATTTCAGATTTTAGCAAGATTTGTAGCCCTAGCATGGAGAAATTATTTTGAGGACTAACAACTAGATTTCTCCAATGAGCATGGCTTTTTCAAGTAATGTTAAAGCCCTAAACTAGGGCTCAGATCCAGCCTATCTGAAAGATCATATTTGCTCATATGAACCTGGTCATGTTTTTAGATTCTCAGGGGAGGGCCTTCTCAGTCCCACCACCATTATAGATATGGTTGGGGAGAAAATGGAACAGAGTCTTCCCCAGGCTATGGAATGCATCT